ACACACACACACACACACACACACACACTTCCCATTCTGGCTACAGACTCATGCAAAGATGGCGTATACCTGGACGATCTCAGTTCCCACATGACACTGTCCAGCCCCTGGCTTGAGTGGACGTGGGAAGTGAGTACTCTTCCCCAGGGCCCAATGCTACATCTCCAGCAGCTGCTTCAGGACCCAGCTCTCGGATGCTCTTTTCTTCTCCAGCTCAGCGCTTCCTTGTCTAATCCAGGCTTCATCAGGAAGGACCAGGGGCCGCCATGAACCTGAGCAACCCTGCTAGGGTAGCGACCACCACTAGGTCAAGCTGAACATGTCCTCTGACACAGACTAGGCTTGGTGCTGGCTTGCCTGTTCATCCCTTGTAAATCTCCTGCCAAAGCAAACTGCCACAGAAATGAGGCTGGAAGGTGGGCACAGTGGGACTACACCCTGGCCACCTAGGAGCCGCTGTGCACAACCCACACATGGTCTTGAATTCCAGCCAGGGAACTGTAATGCCTGTGGAGCCTCTGGCCATATTCATGGGCTAAGATGGGAGGGTAACCACCCTGCTCCACGTGGCCCACACCAGGGCTGGAACTAGTTATGCCTCAGCGGGTGAGGGACTACAAGGAAACGTTGGGGCACAGCGAGGTGGGCCGAGCAGGTAAGACCCTACAGAGGGGCAGTGACTACACAAGGGGGGATACCTGAGCCCACTAACACCAGACCTCCTGTAGGAAGAGACTGTAGCCCTGCACGTGAGTCTGACTTCTCACCATCCCTGCCCATGCTCTCCTGGGGCTGGCTGCTTATCATCCCCCCTCATTGCAGTGTCTACCACGTGAAGGAAAGAATGAGAATGCCACTAGGCTTTCCTTGTTGTCCCACCCTAGTGGGGGGGGAGGGTCAGCCCTTGTTTCCAGTCTGTGGGGACAAGGCTTCTGTAGTTAAGGCCCCTCTGCCAAAGGCTCAGAAGCGTGCAACTGTCCCCAACACCACCCAGCTCTCCCTCCCTGTCCCCACAGCTTTCTTCCCTCCCTGCCGTGGTCAGCCCCTTGCCCCTCGCCATTGTCACACAGCTGTCATATCATGCTCTGCCTCTTCTCTCCTCCCTCACTGTGGAGTCTCTCTCCCTGTCTCTGCCACCCTGAGATCTGACAAAGAGCGGTATTTAAGTGCTCAGGGGGGAAAAATCAATTCACCCGGTTCCACTTTAATCCATCAGTTCCATTTCTGATAAATGTCCTGGTCCTTCCTATGGGGTCACAATGTGGCAGTAATGTCCAACAGATGCTAACAGCTGTGTCAGTAAAGCAGCCAGCTGTTCACTGGCCAGGGACTACCCCAGGTGCTCAACTCAGGGTGAATATCCTCACACTCCTCCCCACCCAGTGTGCTAGCCCACTCCAGGGTCACCCCCAGCCCCAGACCCGTCCATCAGAGCACATGTCGGCATAACCTTGACCTGAGAACAAAGTTCCCAGGCCTTGAAGCCACACAGACTCCCAAGCAAAGCCCTTAAAGGTAGAGTTGGGGGGGTCAGATGAAGGAAAGGGGAGCCCCCTGAGCAGAGGGGACTGAAGAGCCTGAAGTACCTGCTAAACGCCTGCTGTATGCCCTGAGCTCCCCTGTGTCTGTCCCGTTAACGGGTTTTGTTCCAGCCCTATCCCATCACTACAGCTAATCTGAGGCTCACACAGGCGCACGCCCAGCCCTGCTGGGTTCACCAGCTGCCCTTCGACTGGTGAACCAGAGACAGTCTAGCTCATCTGCTGCCCAAGGCTGCCTACCGCCCAGCCCTTGGGCCCAAATTGGATTAGCGGTGTTTAGAAAGCGGCAAATCTGCTCATATTTGAGCAAGGGCTCAACAGATCACACGGGCCAAGAGGAGCCCTGCCTGCATGCAGGGAGATTTGGGGAAGAGAAACTTCGCTAAACAAGTGTTAATTGAAAACAAACTGTATATGATCTGCCTGGCTACCCTGGCCAAGCAAATGTCTCTCTTCCTAGGGACAGTGTGGAAAAGAATCGGGGTCATGTACCAAGCCCTAGACTGAGGCCACAATGTGAGGCCAGGAAGGAGTGTGGGTCATGATCACCCATGGAAACACGGGCCCAACGGAACACCTATTCTGTATTTCACGACTCTGCGTTCTCCTGGTGACCCCCTCAAAATCTCAGGGCGTGGGGAGTGGGATGTTCCATACCTGAGCATTTTATCGTCCCATCTGCCCAGTGACACCTCAGAGGCCAGTGGCATGCAGGTTGGATCCAACAGCACTGAACACTGAGCAGGGTGGGCCTAGAAGAGACACTGAGGCAAGCTGAGCCAGAGTCTGCTGGGTCTCTTGGGCACAGTGGGCTGTGTGGCTGGTACTGCCAGGGAGAACTCTGTGTCCATTCTTGCCAGCCCTGCCCTAACACTAGGCACTCATTGTGAAAACTGACCTGGTGACCCTCCCAAAGCCAGCAGCTAAAAGAATAGCAAAATTTTTGTTCATGAAAACACAAGCAAACTGTGCCCTGTGCTGGAGAGAAGCCCACTGGCTTGAGCAGAGGGCACAGGCTTGTGAGCAAGCCCTCCCCAGGGCACAGGAGTATGAGCCCATGAGGACAGAGCAGGCTTATAGTCACAAGAGCCCTTTATACAAATGAAGCGGGCTCAGGAAGGGCTCGGGCCCTCAGTGGCAAGGGCTCTCCAGCAGCTTTGTCCTGAAGGGCTTCTCACTGGCCCCAGGACCTGGCAGTCCACTTTCCCCTAGGAAATCTGTGTCTGGGACTGTGTCCTGGCTAGAGAGGGAGCAAGGAGAGACAGAGCTGATGCCCCTGCAGATGTTGGAGCGCTCCTGGGAGGGGGCCGAGGCAGTCGGGACAGGAAGGCTGAGTGCCCCCATCCCTCCCTGCCTTTCATTCATCTCTCAAAGCACAGGAAGCCAAGCGCAGAGCCTGCTGGGGACCACAGCAAGCTCTCTGTGCGTGAGGAGGGTGGGCAGGGTGGCCCCAGCTGATGGAGCTGTGAGGCTGCTGAGCCACACTCCCGGAGAGGTAGATTTAAAAGTGAGGAAAGGAATTGCGAGGGAACCAACAGTATGGTCCTTTGAGCTCCTAGAAGCCCCGTTCAGCAGGGATGATGACACTTACCCAAGGCTCCTGTGACCCTGTACCCACGTTTGGGTCCACCAGTCAGGCTGTGACCCCATCTTTTCAGTCTGTTTCCAGCACTGGTAGGGCCTCCACCTTCTCAATCCAGCTCATCCCCCAGCAAGCCAGGACAATCAATTATTCAGCTCCTGCCTCTCGGCCTTCTTGTGTTAGTGCCTTGTATGGCTGAGAACATAAATCTCCTCTCTGCCTGCATTCTTGGCACCTGACTGGGAGCAGGATACCCCCAGGGCAATGACAGGTCCTGTCCCAGAGCCCCCTCCCAAATCCCAGAGCCAGCATGAGCATTGCTGGCACCCTGCCGCTCCTCAGCTATTAAACCAATAATTCAGCGGAGACATTTTGGAGCAAACTGCACGGGTTCCCCCGCCCCCCGCATGACAGCAAGAGGTCTACAAACCATTACAACTACAAGAGAGGCTGCCCCAGCAGACATGGTCCTGTCACACAGGCTGACTTCCAAAGAGACAGGGAACACATGGGGACACACAGAGGAGAGCAGTCTGCATGCCTTTAGCCATATCAGATAACTGGGGAATAAGACCTGGTCACCCTGTTGAAAGAGGTAGCTCCAAACACATCTTTCAAAAGCACTGATGCTACCTACATCCAGGATCCTACCTGAAGCCAAGAGAGGCCACAGCTTGGTAGGCCACCACAGCAGGACACTTAAAGTCTCCAGCAAGACATTTGTCCCCATGAAAACTGATGACTTGAACAAATCTGTTGTTGTGGAGAGTCAAGATTAGCTCCCCACACCCATTCCCAGACCCACATAACCAGGGAAGGGTTTGTTGAGTGACTGAGTGACCTCACAACCTCCTTCTACCCTCCACAGACTCTGGCATGGCTCGGGCAAGAAGTGAAATAGAGAGGAAAAGGGCAAAGTTACTAGGCAGCAAAATCAGGTAGACTGGGAAAAGACAGAGGAGCCGAGGCCTACTCTTCCCCTGCAATGTCTCCTGCTTCAACCCTGGTGGATACAAGGCAAGACCCAGGCCAGTAGGCAGTGAGTGGCCTGCCTTCCCACCCCAGCCCCCTCCTGCCTCCCTCTCTGCAAGTCTTCACAGGGCAAGGCCAGCAGCCCAGCAATTAGCATTAATAAGTTGATGGACAGCAGCCTGGGTCCAAGTCTAGTGTTAACTGAGGCTGATCCCTCTCCATTTGTCATCTAATATGGATGCAGCCACCCCTCCTATGACCTGGTCCTGTGGTCATCCTGCTTCAGGCACTCAAGGCTGCCCCTGCTCTGCCTGACAGTGCGTCCAGCTTTCCCAGACCCTGCTGGGAGCCTATATGTTCCAACACCCTCTCTGGGACTTTGGCTGCCCCAGTGATGAACAAGCTCACCCTCTACCCATTTCTACCATAGCCTCAGTCCTCTCCCTGTCCAGACTCTCTGTGCAGATAGCCCTGTCTTTCCTCCTTCTAGGCCTCAGCCTCTGTGGATGCATACCGTCAACCAGCCAGTACTGGTACGTGAGCCAGTGTCCAAGCACATAGGGGAGGCACAGGATCTATCCTGGATCTATATCTCATTCTTCCCAATGACAGGCCACATTGGAATCACTGCATTTGTAGCCAAGGACAAGGCTAGTCTCTCATTACGAGGCTCCATGTTGTGCACCTATATGGCAGCTTTACTTGGCCCCCATCTGTGCCCGGCTTGGAAAAGGCTCTGCGGTCTCCCTAAGAATGCTGGTTTGCCTGCCCCAGAATGGGAGGTCACATGACTCTCCTGGGGAGCTGGTGAGTATGCTGGAGGGGTCATTTCCCAGGCTTCTCCACCTGCCTCCATATGCCCCCCTTCCCTAGCGGCCCCCTGCTAGGTTGGCTGTGACCGGAGACGCTGGCTGCCGGTGTGAGCTGCTGGAGGATGGGCTGTGACTCCGGAGGCTGTCTGAGGATGCTGAAGCTTCACTGCCCTGGCCACTGCCTGGCATGCCCTCTGGGACCAAGAAAGACCCTGGAGAACACCAGCCTTGCAGGGCCAGCTCCGGGGAGGGCAGGGGCCCCTTCTGCCAGCTTCACTCCTTCAATCCCCAGAGACTTAGAAGCTGGGGAGTGGGGGATGGCAGCCTCAGCACAGCGCCATAGGAGGTCTTAAGCTTTGAGACCCACTTGGACAGTCCCCTGCACCTCCCAGAGGGGCTATGGAACTTAGAGATGCCACAGATGGAATTCAGAGCCTATGACCCGACAAAAAGGACCAGAGAGTCTTTAGAAGAAGATATTTATGGAACATTCGGGGCGGGGGGAGGGCACTTGTACACCGAGTACTGCTTTGGACATGCCACACATATTATTTCAATGGCTGATCATCCAGTTTTACTGACCAGCCCAAATGGGTACACTCAGTACCCCCCAAATGTGGCAGGCCTGGTGTCCCACCCAGGACAATGCAGGCTGGAGTCCAGAGATGCCAGTGGTTGCACAGGAAAGTGGGGCCTTGGACTGGGGGCAAGTGGCAGAGCGCTTGCCTAGCATGCATAAGGCCCTGGACTCACTCACTAGCAACACACACACACACACACACACACACACACACACACACACACACACACAAACAGTCAAGGCCACCTTTTAACAACTCCACAGACTCGAGTGTCCTGGGGTGGAGTCATTCAGGGACAGCAAGCCACAAGCAAAACTCTGGGGGTGGGACACCCAAAAGACCACTAGTTATTGCTCCTTTGTGTCCTGACACTCTCTGTCACTGGAGCCCGCCCTGGTCATATCTGGCTCTGGGCCCAAATATCACCCAAACTAAGAGAAAACAGTGTAACATATAAAGAGAAGTGGAAAGATTTACTTAAAGTTTTGACCAAAAGTAGGGAGACAGAAACGTTAACTGTCCCCACCTTACCCAAAGCTGCATCGCAGTGTATAGAAAAGGGGACACAGAAGCCAGGGGACCCAGTGCTATCTCTATTGTTGGAGGGTGATATCTAGCCCTGGGTCTCCCTCCCTTCCCACACAGAAGTTCCTGGGGGAATCCTGACTCACACTGCCTGGCTCCCCTAACACCTCACACTCCACCCACTCTCTCCACCACCTGAAATATAGCTGCCGAGAGACCTGTCCAGAGATTTTGCTGATATTCGCCTGCACTACAGGCAACAAGAGTGGAATTCATTCCTCCCCTACTTCTTTCTTTTCTTCTCTTTTCTTTCAGCAGGATCTCAGGTATTCCAGGCTGGCCTTGAATTTGCTATGTAGTCAAGAATGGCCTCGAACTTCTGATCCTCCTGCTTCCAGCCCACAGATCCTGGGGTTATGGATGTGTGCTATCTATCATGTCTGGTTTATGCGGTGCTGAGGACTGAACCCAGAGCTTTGTGTATGCTAGGCAGACACTCTGCCTACTGAGCTAGCAGGATGCATTTTCTGATGATGAGATAGAGTTGAAGACAGGAAGATGAGGGGTGAGAGGAGGGAGCGGTGAGATAAGCTGGTAATTCTAGAACATTCTCGGAGTGATGATTGTGCAATGGCCGTCAGCACAGTAGAGGGTGTTCTGGAGGAAGGACATGTTGGCACTGTGTCCAGAGCTCAGGATGGTAAAGTCAGGATGTTATTAAGGTAGGAGGCAGTACAGCTGGGTGGAGAATCCACAGGTACCTGGTCAGGGATCTCCCTCACCCATGGAGTGGCCACAGGTCCTGACTGTCCCAGAAATAAGGTAAAATCTCTGTAGTCACCCAGGAGGTCTGGAGGCTGCTCTTTGAGAGATGAGCCCAAGTGAATGTGCTGAAGCCCAAGGGGCATGGGCACACACGGTCAGGTGATGGGATGTGAGGGGTGTGGGCACACATGGTCAGGTGATGAGGGGTATGGGCACACAGGTCAGGTGATGGGATGTGAGGGGCGTGGGCACACATGGTCAGGTGATGGGATGTGAGGGGCGTGGGCACACATGGTCAGGTGATGGGATGTGAGGGGCGTGGGCACACATGGTCAGGTGATGGGATGTGAGGGGCGTGGGCACACATGGTCAGGTGATGGGGTGCGGGTGGCAGAGGGGCAAGAACCCAGGGTCCTTTAGGCCAGAATCTGGGGCTCACCATGTGGGCTGGAGGTAAGACGGAGATGCCAGAACATAATTTTACCATTGAAAGGAACAGGAAGGAAAACAGACACCAAATCCCAGTGGAAAAGAACTTTCTAAGAAAAAAAAGCCAGGATGAGTGCTCTTTGTGCAAAAGCTAAATTCTCAGGTGGCGCCAAAGAAACATCAAGGTAAAAGATGAGCAATGTGTCAGGTAAATGTTTGACACTAATGTGACAAAAAATTAATACTATTAACATGGCAAGAGGTATTCTGAAGCAAAATGTTGAGAAAGATGTGAATGCACTACAGATGATGCAATGAGTGTGGCCTGTACACACACACACACACACACACACACACACACACACACACACATGCATGCATTCACATACACACACACATGCACTCACACACGTATGCATGCACTCACACACACACACACACACACACACATACACGCATGTCCTTACACACAGTGAGCACACAGCAACATTCTGGCCCCTTTGCCTGAGTTACAGCAGCTTCTGTTCCGAGGTTCCAGTCAGCTGTAAAGCGACGGAAGTCGCCATCCCACCCTTCAGCCCAGAGCCTTTATTGGACTCTGTGTTGACCGACCATGCACAGAAAGCCAGATCAGGACTCGTGGGCCGCGGTGGCTTGCCTCAATGCTGAGGAAGACAGAGCAGGAAACGGCACCTGGAAAACATTCTTGATAAAATCTCACAAGAGTCAAACACAAAGGATGGCCAGTCTGGGAGAGGCGTGAAGTTGGAAGGATGTGCACAGGACAAGGCAGGGAGGAGATAAATACACCACCATTAGCAGTGGAGATTTCCACCCTTTAAAATACATATCTGGAATGTAAACACAAGAACAAGGTTCTGAGGATGTCAGGATCTTCTGCAGGGTGGGGTAAGCCACCTTGGATTTCCCAGGCTCTGGTCCTCTGGGTCTAGGAAAGCCCTGTTCTTGGATGGGGGTGGGAAGCTCTGGACTGGAAGGATGGATGATCAAGTGTGTGTGGGCAGGAGGTGAGTGAGTGGATGGACAGACACACAAGTCCACAGGTGGATGGGGGGGGGATAATGAATAGGTGGCTGATGGGTAAATAGGTGGATAGACAGAAGGAGGGACAGATGGGGGACAAAGTGATGGTTAATCAGATGGAAAGATGGATGACAGGATGAATACATGCATGCGTGGGCAGATGGATGCATGCATGGGTGGATGCATGAGTGGATGGGTGGGTGGATGCATGTGTGCATGTGTAGATGCATGCATGCATGCATGGGTGGATAGGTGGCAGATGAATGGACAGGTGGAGAAATAGTTGGATGGACAAGGGACTGTATTGAGAGATAGGTGAAAGCCTTAGGTAAGGAAGGATTAGCCACTGGCCCCTCCCGCAGCCTGTACCTTTGCCCTTCTCTCTGGGAGATACACTTGCCCATTTCTCTCCACTTGCTTTTTTACTGCAGCTCTGTTCAGCCTCCTTTGACCAGCCTCTTACCCTGAGTCCCAGACAGCTCCCCTCCCCTCCCCTGTACTTGGGCTGTTCAATATGCTAGAGTACCGACCCCACACAGCTGCCATAAATCCTGCCCTCGTCCCACAGCTGATCAATCTCCAATCAGCTCCAAAGCCCCTGAATGTCCGTAGCTCGCTCTGGCCATGGGAGCCACAGCCACAGCTGGCTCTGAATGCTGCCGGCTACATATATTGAACTTGAAGCATCGGATTACATGTTTGTTCAATAGCAATAAACTCCCAAAGTTTTATAGGGTCATAAAACTGCTGCCTGGGCTCCCACTTAGGTGGCATGTAATGTACACAGACCGGCTTCCCCGCTAATGGGGCAGTGCAAGTGATTTGGGGCTATTAGCTAGAAACAGTACATCTGCATTCGCCAAATTCTCATCAATAAAGTGGCCCCACCGGAGCAGAACACACCAGACCCAGTCTTGACATTCAAGGGAGGAAGCATGGCAGAGTGCGGCCAGGCCATGAAATGGTTACAGAGGAAACAACTATGGCAATGGGGGTGGAGGGAGAATTAGGGGGAAGCAGGGTTCGGAACCAGTACAGAGACGGCATGCCTGGAGCATATGATACTCATCCACCCCCGAGGAAGCGTGTGGGTGGCATCCTCGCAAGGTCCCAGTCTCCAACCCTGCCCTCTGGGGAGGATGGTTACAGGTGGTAGAGGTGGGAGGGGAACAGGCAGATATGGACGGCGAGGTGAAGAGAGGAGAGTATACGAGAGCCCCAAGGTCGAGGGATGATGAAGGTGGTAATGTCCCTACAGACTCCCAGCTGGGCCCGATCAGTGACAGAGGATCGTAAGCAAGGAGATGCAGCTGCCTTTGGGGGTGTGCTTGGGGTCCACTCTGTGGGCCCAGGGCCAGAGTGAAAAGCTGTTGGGGCAGAAGTGGGAATGTTGTGATTTCAGAGGACCAGGAGCCAAAACAGGGAAGTTGTCTCATTAGGTTGATCTGCACTGGCCTGTACCCAAAGCCACCAGAAGAAAACCGACCCAGGTCCTCATTCCTAGACAGTAGCAAGAGACAAAAATGCGGCTGGGGGCCAAGCACAAGGCAAGCCCAGGCAGGCACAAAAACATGTGCCCAAATAATGCCCATAAACCCTGGGGTAGCATCTGCTAGGCCCCTTTCCCGCTAACCTCCAGCACCCTCGATAGTGAAGATCCCATTTCAGCCTTAGCCTGGCTCTTCCTTGACACCAGAGTTGGGCACGTGTATGACTTTGCCCTGATCCTTGTAACTTAGCTCTCGATCCAGATCCTCAGAAACACATTGATTTGCCTGAATGAATCAATATTTATTGCAGCTTCAAGGCCTGGGGCCTGAGGAGGGCCTGCAGGCTGATGAATGGAGCCAACACAGCTACCTTGCTGACAGGATTCATCGAGCAACTTCCTGGTTCCACACTAGCTCCAGAGCCTCTCCCATACTGGCCCATCCGGGACAAACTCCCCAGTGATGGCCTGCCACACACAGACACTGAGCCAAGTAGGTACAGGGTCTGGGATTGTGTTATATGACTCTGTGGCCTTGGAAATCCCGGTGTCCTGCTTGAGAAGAACTGTGGACTTGTTTAGTGATGTGCAGAGGCAAATCTCTAAGAAGCAAAGGTCTTCTGGGTTATTTTCTCAAGGTGCCTGCCTCTTTCCCATTCTAGACTCCATCCTCAATGAAAGTCCCAGGGGAGTTGGAAGGTGTGAAGAGGACTGGGAGTAAGACCCTATACTAGGTAGGTCCTGTGTTAGGTCCTGTGTTAGGTCCTGTGTTAGGTCCCTGTGTTAGGTCCTGTGTTAGGTCCTGTGTTAGGTCCTGTGTTAGGTCCTGTGTTAGGTCCTGTGTTAGGTCCTGTGTTAGGTCCTGTGTTAGTTCCTGTGTTAGGTCCTGTGTTAGTTCCTGTGTTAGGTCCTGTGTTAGGTCCTGTGTTATCCTGTGTTAGGTCCTGTGTTATCCTGTGTTAGGTCCTGTGTTATCCTGTGTTAGGTCCCTGTGTTAGGTCCTGTGTTAGGTCCTGTGTTAGGTCCTGTGTTAGGTCCTGTGTTAGGTCCTGTGTTAGGTCCTGTGTTATCCTGTGTTAGGTCCTGTGTTAGGTCCTGTGTTAGTTCCTGTGTTAGGTCCTGTGTTAGGTCCCTGTGTTAGGTCCTGTGTTAGGTCCCTGTGTTAGGTCCTGTGTTAGGTCCTGTGTTTGTTAGGTCCTGTGTTAGGTCCTGTGTTAGGTCCTGTGTTAGGTCCTGTGTTAGGTCCTGTGTTAGGTCCTGTGTTAGGTCCTGTGTTAGGTCCCTGTGTTAGGTCCTGTGTTAGTTCCTGTGTTAGTTCCTGTGTTAGGTCCTGTGTTATCCTGTGTTAGGTCCTGTGTTAGGTCCTGTGTTAGGTCCTGTGTTAGGTCCTGTGTTAGGTCCCTGTGTTAGGTCCTGTGTTAGTTCCTGTGTTAGTTCCTGTGTTAGGTCCTGTGTTATCCTGTGTTAGGTCCTGTGTTAGGTCCTGTGTTAGGTCCTGTGTTAGTTCCTGTGTTAGTTCCTGTGTTAGGTCCTGTGTTATCCTGTGTTAGGTCCTGTGTTAGGTCCTGTGTTAGGTCCTGTGTTAGGTCCTGTGTTAGGTCCTGTGTTAGGTCCCTGTGTTAGGTCCTGTGTTAGGTCCTGTGTTAGGTCCCTGTGTTATCCTGTGTTAGGTCCTGTGTTAGGTCCTGTGTTAGGTCCTGTGTTAGTTCCTGTGTTAGTTCCTGTGTTAGGTCCTGTGTTAGGTCCTGTGTTAGGTCCCTGTGTTAGGTCCCTGTGTTAGGTCCTGTGTTAGGTCCTGTGTTAGGTCCCTGTGTTAGGTCCTGTGTTAGGTCCTGTGTTAGGTCCCTGTGTTATCCTGTGTTAGGTCCTGTGTTAGGTCCTGTGTTAGGTCCTGTGTTAGTTCCTGTGTTAGTTCCTGTGTTAGGTCCTGTGTTATCCTGTGTTAGGTCCTGTGTTAGGTCCTGTGTTAGGTCCTGTGTTAGGTCCTGTGTTAGGTCCTGTGTTAGGTCCTGTGTTAGGTCCTGTGTTATCCTGTGTTAGTTCCTGTGTTAGGTCCTGTGTTATCCTGTGTTAGGTCCTGTGTTATCCTGTGTTAGGTCCTGTGTTAGGTCCTGTGTTATCCTGTGTTAGGTCCCTGTGTTAGGTCCTGTGTTATCTGTGTTATCCTGTGTTAGGTCCTGTGTTAGGTCCTGTGTTAGGTCCTGTGTTAGGTCCCTGTGTTAGGTCCTGTGTTAGGTCCCTGTGTTATCCTGTGTTATCCTGTGTTAGGTCCTGTGTTAGGTCCCTGTGTTAGGTCCTGTGTTAGGTCCTGTGTTAGGTCCTGTGTTAGGTCCTGTGTTAGGTCCTGTGTTAGTTCCTGTGTTAGTTCCTGTGTTAGGTCCTGTGTTATCCTGTGTTAGGTCCTGTGTTAGGTCCTGTGTTAGGTCCTGTGTTAGTTCCTGTGTTAGTTCCTGTGTTAGGTCCTGTGTTATCCTGTGTTAGTTCCTGTGTTAGGTCCTGTGTTAGGTCCTGTGTTAGGTCCTGTGTTAGGTCCCTGTGTTAGGTCCTGTGTTAGTTCCTGTGTTAGTTCCTGTGTTAGGTCCTGTGTTATCCTGTGTTAGGTCCTGTGTTAGGTCCTGTGTTAGGTCCTGTGTTAGGTCCTGTGTTAGGTCCCTGTGTTAGGTCCTGTGTTAGTTCCTGTGTTAGTTCCTGTGTTAGGTCCTGTGTTATCCTGTGTTAGGTCCTGTGTTAGGTCCTGTGTTAGGTCCTGTGTTAGTTCCTGTGTTAGTTCCTGTGTTAGGTCCTGTGTTATCCTGTGTTAGGTCCTGTGTTAGGTCCTGTGTTAGGTCCTGTGTTAGGTCCTGTGTTAGGTCCTGTGTTAGGTCCTGTGTTAGGTCCTGTGTTAGGTCCTGTGTTAGGTCCTGTGTTAGGTCCCTGTGTTAGGTCCCTGTGTTAGGTCCTGTGTTAGGTCCTGTGTTAGGTCCTGTGTTAGGTCCTGTGTTAGGTCCTGTGTTAGGTCCCTGTGTTAGTGTTAGGTCCTGTGTTAGGTCCTGTGTTAGGTCCTGTGTTAGTTCCTGTGTTAGTTCCTGTGTTAGGTCCTGTGTTAGGTCCTGTGTTAGGTCCTGTGTTAGGTCCCTGTGTTAGTGTTAGGTCCTGTGTTAGGTCCTGTGTTAGGTCCTGTGTTAGTGTTATCCTGTGTTAGTTCCTGTGTTAGGTCCTGTGTTAGGTCCTGTGTTAGGTCCTGTGTTCCCTGTGTTAGTGTTAGGTCCTGTGTTAGGTCCTGTGTTAGGTCCTGTGTTAGTTCCTGTGTTAGTTCCTGTCCTGTGTTAGGTCCTGTGTTAGGTCCCTGTGTTAGGTCCTGTGTTAGGTCCTGTGTTAGGTCCCTGTGTTATCCTGTGTTAGGTCCTGTGTTAGGTCCTGTGTTAGGTCCTGTGTTAGTTCCTGTGTTAGTTCCTGTGTTAGGTCCTGTGTTATCCTGTGTTAGGTCCTGTGTTAGGTCCTGTGTTAGGTCCTGTGTTAGGTCCTGTGTTAGGTCCTGTGTTAGGTCCTGTGTTAGGTCCTGTGTTAGGTCCTGTGTTATCCTGTGTTATCCTGTGTTAGTTCCTGTGTTAGGTCCTGTGTTATCCTGTGTTAGGTCCTGTGTTATCCTGTGTTAGGTCCTGTGTTAGGTCCTGTGTTATCCTGTGTTAGGTCCCTGTGTTAGGTCCTGTGTTATCCTGTGTTATCCTGTGTTAGGTCCTGTGTTAGGTCCTGTGTTAGGTCCTGTGTTAGGTCCTGTGTTAGGTCCCTGTGTTAGGTCCTGTGTTAGGTCCCTGTGTTATCCTGTGTTATCCTGTGTTAGGTCCTGTGTTAGGTCCCTGTGTTAGGTCCTGTGTTAGGTCCTGTGTTAGGTCCTGTGTTAGGTCCTGTGTTAGGTCCTGTGTTAGGTCCTGTGTTAGGTCCTGTGTTATCCTGTGTTATCCTGTGTTAGGTCCTGTGTTAGGTCCTGTGTTAGGTCCTGTGTTATCCTGTGTTATCCTGTGTTAGGTCCTGTGTTAGGTCCTGTGTTAGGTCCTGTGTTAGGTCCTGTGTTAGGTCCTGTGTTATCCTGTGTTATCCTGTGTTAGGTCCCTGTGTTAGGTCCTGTGTTATCCTGTGTTATCCTGTGTTATCCTGTGTTAGGTCCTGTGTTAGGTCCTGTGTTAGGTCCTGTGTTAGGTCCTGTGTTAGGTCCCTGTGTTAGGTCCTGTGTTAGGTCCTGTGTTAGGTCCTGTGTTAGGTCCTGTGTTAGGTCCTGTGTTAGGTCCTGTGTTATCCTGTGTTATCCTGTGTTAGGTCCTGTGTTAGGTCCTGTGTTAGGTCCTGTGTTATCCTGTGTTATCCTGTGTTAGGTCCTGTGTTAGGTCCTGTGTTAGGTCCCTGTGTTAGGTCCTGTGTTAGGTCCTGTGTTTGTTAGGTCCTGTGTTAGGTCCTGTGTTAGGTCCTGTGTTAGGTCCTGTGTTAGGTCCTGTGTTAGGTCCTGTGTTAGGTCCTGTGTTAGGTCCTGTGTTAGGTCCTGTGTTATCCTGTGTTATCCTGTGTTAGGTCCTGTGTTAGGTCCTGTGTTAGGTCCTGTGTTATCCTGTGTTATCCTGTGTTAGGTCCTGTGTTAGGTCCTGTGTTAGGTCCCTGTGTTAGGTCCTGTGTTAGGTCCTGTGTTTGTTAGGTCCTGTGTTAGGTCCTGTGTTAGGTCCTGTGTTAGGTCCTGTGTTAGGTCCTGTGTTAGGTCCTGTGTTAGGTCCTGTGTTAGGTCCTGTGTTAGGTCCTGTGTTAGGTCCTGTGTTAGGTCCCTGTGTTAGGTCCTGTGTTAGGTCCCTGTGTTAGGTAGGCCCTGTGTTATCCTGTGTTAGGTCCCTGTGTTAGGTAGGCCCCTGTCTTAGGTAGCTTCCTGGGTTAGGTGTATTTCTCTTCACTCTGACCAACCTACCTTACCAAAGCAACTTAGTGAAGGTGTGTTTATTTGACTCAGAGTTTGAGAGTGCCATCTACCCTATTTGGAAAGCCGTTATGTCTGGAAGTCCAGGTGACTGGTCATGCTGTTTGGCAGTCAGTAAGCAGAGAGAACTCAACACTGATACTCAGTTTGTCTTCTGTCTCAGATTTTAAGTCTCCCACTCAAAGGCAGAGTGAGTCTTCTCTAATTATTCAGGCTTCCCAAAATCACACTTATGGACATGCCCAGAAGGTGCTGCTAGATGGTTTTAAGTTGAGAGTTAAGACTGGCCCTCACAGGCCCTCAGGCCTTCCCAACTTCCTGTCCACTCAGGCACCTAGACAGTCACTTCCCTGATAGAGCTCCCTTCAGGGACTAGCTGTGAATGTCCTCAGGAAGCATGGAGAGTCCACCCTAGGAGCTCCCATTCCCTGGCAGAGGGCTGCCCTTCACCCTGAGGTTCTGTGAGGATGACATGGAGAGTGGCCAGTATGGAAGAGTGGACCCTCTAGCCATGAGGTATTACAGGCTGAACTGGGTGTGGGCAGAGGTCTCTGATTTCGAATGTGTGCCCAAGTGCAATACATCAGGCTGCAAAGGTACCTACTCCAGCAAATTCTAAGGTCCTAACTGGAGTCACCACTCGGGAGGAATGGAGACCTGAATGACCAGTTCTCACTCACCAGAGTTGGCTGCAGCACATGGTGGCCTCCAGGAAAAGGACTCCATCACTACTGCCCCCATCTAAAATGCTAGAGCCTGAATCTTGGGCAGAAGACAAGAGGAGATGTCTTCAATAGGCCCAGAGGCAGTAGGGCATGGCGGTGAGCAACCCCAGGATTAGGAACCTCACTCGGAGCATTGGAGGAGGCTAAGGAGGCCTCTGAGTAGCCAAGAGTTGACAGAACGCAGGAGCCCAGAGAAGAATTCTCAAGGCTGAGAACCCACAGCCCGTTCTGCCCCAGGAGAACAGTGAGGAACTGAGGTGTGCCTCCAACATCACCAGCCCCGAGAGCACCAAGGCATGAGATGTGATGGATCTGTGTACTCCCTCAGAATGTGCCACGCACAGGTATCATCCCCCTGATCGCACAGACTGGAAGGCCTTCTCTCTGTTCACCCTGCCTCACTGCTCCCTCCTCACCTTCAAAGCATGCTGAAGTTCCCCCATTAAGAGGAGCACCCTGGGCCGGGCGGTGGTGGCGCACGCCTTTAATCCCAGCACTCGGGAGGCAGAGGCAGGTGGATCTCTGTGAGTTCGAGGCCAGCCTGGTCTCCAAAGCGAGTACCAGGAAAGGCGCAAAGCTACACAGAGAAACCCTGTCTCGAAAAACCAAAAAAAAAAAAAAGAGGAGCACCCTGGAAAACCTAGCTTCTCTGAGGACATGGCTACAGGTCTGTGTCAGCTGAGACCTCCGTAAGGATGGTTGCCTCTAGAAGCCTGTTTCCTCCTCTGGCCCCAAGTGGTCATATGCAGAAGGACTCATGCAGAGCTCATCCCGCCCATCAGAGGCTGGCAATCAGCCAGGCTGGGCCATCATCCTTCAGACAGGATGGGGCACAGGAACTGGGTGGGACAAGGACAGGAATGGTTACCCCCAGCACTGAGGGAAACCATGGAGTAGTGGTGGGCAGTGGGGTGGGGTGGGAGACCTGATAAGAACACAAGGCTGGCCGGGCGGTGGTGGCACACACCTTTAATCCCAGCACTCGGGAGGCAGAGGCAGGCAGATCTCTGTGAGTTCAAGGCCAGTCTGGTCTACAGAGCAAGATCCAGGAAAGGCGCAAAGCTACACAGAGAAACCCTATCTCGAAAAACCAAAAAAGAAAAAAAAAAAAAAAGAACACAAGGCTCCCAAGAAGGCCTTGCTGGGGCTCTGCCTCCCTCTCCCTTACTGTCTCTGGGACTATTAAGGATGTCTTTTGACCGAGACTCAGGCTACTGTCTCCATCAAGCCCCTTCTATCTGGCTGAGGTTCCCCATCTGGGTCATCCACACCAAAAGCCTGGCATATCTGTGCACACAGGCCTTGACCCATGATAAGAAAGAGAAAGGCTGTTTGAGGGGCAGCAGGAAAGGGCCAGGGAGTGGGCAGCTCAGGGACACCTTCCTGGCCAGCACCCATTCCCAAGGCCCATTGCTAAATACATCCAGACCCACCCCAGATCAGTCACCCCTACACAAGCCTCCCAAGGTGTACTCTTGCCTCCTGAGAAGTGTGCCAGGGGTCTGGCATCCCCCAGGAGGCCATTCAACATATGCACGTGCAACTCCCACAGTAAAGGAGAGGTCTTGGGGAAGAGAACAGGGAATTCTGGAGCTCAGAGGAGAGAAACATCAGAGCCCAGCACAGCCTCGAGCATAGGAAGAAGTGTCCAGGGACACATCTGCTTAGAGGCACGTAGAGCTGTGACATTGTGTAGAGAAGTGTCAGAAGGGGCCAGGCGGTGGTGGAGCATGCCTTTAATCCCAGCACTAAGGAGGCAGAGGCAGTTGAATCTCTGTGAGTTCTAGGACAACCAGGGCTACAGAGAGAAAGCCTATCTTGAAAAAAGAAGTGTCAGAGGGGCATGGGCAGTGTGTGTGTGAGGACATGGTCAGTGTGTGAGGACATGGACAGTGTGTGTGTGAGGACATAGGCAGTGTGTGAGGACATGGACAGTGTGTGAGGACATGGGCAGTGTGTGTGTGAGGACATGGGCAGTGTGTGTGTGAGGACATGGGCAGTGTGTGTGTAAGGATATGGGCAGTGTGTGAGGACATGGGCAGTGTGTGTGTGAGGACATGGGCAGTGTGTGAGGACATGGACAGTGTGTGAGGACATGGACAGTGTGTGTGTGAGGACATGGACAGTGTGTGTGTGAGGACATGGGCAGTGTGTGTGTGAGGACATGGACAGTGTGTGTGTGAGGACATGGACAGTATGTGAGGACATGGACAGTGTGTGTGTGAGGACATGGGCAGTGTGTATGTGAGGACATGGGCAGTGTGTGTGTGAGGACATGGGCAGTGTGTGTATGAGGACATGGACAATGTGTGAGGACATGGACAGTGTGTATGTGAGGACATGGACAGTGTGTGTGTGAGGACATGGGCAGTGTGTGAGTGAGGACATGGACAGTGTGTGTGTGAGGACATGGGCAGTGTGTGTGTGAGGACATGGGCAGTGTGTGTGTGAGGACATGGGCAGTGTGTGAGGACATGGGCAGTGTGTGAGGACATGGACAGTGTGTGAGGACATGGACAGTGTGTGAGGACATGATCAGTATCAATATTTCTGTAGTACATTTCTCTTACGTAAATCTCACAACTCCATGCAAGGCCTCAGCCAGCTCTGGGGTCCCCAGAGGGCACCTTGCCCACTCTGACCTGGGCGCCCACTCCAGTCTGCCTGCAACACCTCTAGTGCATCCCAGAAGACTCAAGAATTATAACTCCTTGCCAGACAGCTCCCAGGTAGAGGCAAGGAGTCTGATTTACTAGCTGGTGGCATCCACAACCTTCTGGAAAGGTCCCTGTCTGCTGGGGTGGGAGGCGGATGGGCCGGCACCACAGCCAACTCCGGAGGTTCTGCCACCGGGATCGACTTCAGTCAGTAGCGCATCCTGATCTTGGGGTTTCAGACCTGTCCCTGTCATGCAGGTTCGTGACAGATCCAGGCCCTGGGTTCACACCACAGAGTGGAATATCCAATGCTGCCAACATGGCCTCCTCAGCACCTGTGAACAGAAAAGCAGCAGTGACCACGGATGTCTCTGTGACTGGGCATCGGCTCCTCTGTCTTCACTGTTCATGTGAACGGACAGTCCTGGGCCTGCCACAGGGAGAAGGCAGGCCCATGCTGAGCCTCACCTCAAGTCCATGTATGGCCATGAGACCAGAAAGGACTGAAAGCCCAAGCTAGACAAGCCACTGCCATGGTGGTCCTAGTCGGCCAGTACTAGCCTTGGCTGCTCTAGAGGGTCTGCATCTATCCCCCAACCTCTTCCTTCCTTACTCACCCCTTCCATATCCAGTCCTGCCACCACCGGGCAGGGGCCCATGCCCTGCCCCACCCTGCCCCACCCTGCCTCACCTGCCCACTTCACTGTTTACTTGAAGGTTTTCTTCAAATGGATTTTTCACTTAAGTGATTATATTTTGAAAGGAAATCTTACAGCAGCCCTGGAAATGGAAAACAAGCTTCGAGGGTGGTAAATAGAAGGTATCCACACAAATAAAATGAAAATAAAACATGTTATGAAATCCCGTGAGGCCCCGGCTGCAACAGGCTGAAGCCCGTGCCCAGAAGCCTCAGAACCATTCAGGCCAGGAGCAGACTGCAGGGCCCAGTCACACGTCATCTCAGACCCTGGTCACACTCCTGAGTGCTGGGCACACTGGGTTCTCAGTCCTGATCCACCCTGATTCTTGGTCCAGTCACACCTTGATTCTGGGTCCTGATCCACCCTGATTTTGGGTCCAGTCACACTTTGATCCTGGGTCCTGATCCACCCTGATTCTGGGTATGACTTGAGTCCCAGATATACCTTGATTCTTAATCCTGGATACATCTTGATTCTGGGTTCAGTCACACCGTTAAAACTGGGGCCATGCACATTTGGGTTATGGGTTCTGTTCAAATTAGGTTTCTGGGTCTTGTTTCCACCTTGATTCTCGGTCCAGTCACAGCATTAATCCAAAATGCTGCTCAGATCTGGAACCTGAGTCCTGGTTATATCTTGATTCTGGATTGACACCTAGATTTTGGATCACAGTTACATCTGGTTTCTGGGTCATGGTCATCACAGCTGTAGTCTGCCTGGACTCTGGGTGCTTTTCACAGGTTGGTTCTGGGAGCCACCGGGCCACACCTGGATTTTACTGTGGCCACATTTTGGAGGAGGATCTGCCTCAAAGGTTCACTCAGGAGAGCACCCCACAGAGTGGTGAGAACGTTCTTCCTGTGCTCCGCAGCATTACAGAAGGCTGCCTGTGAGCACTGCTTCCTGGGGACATGAAATGACTGATTCTTGATCACAGTTCAGATGTGTTATGAAATCCCGTGAGGCCCCGGCTGCAGCAGGCTGAAGCCGGTGCCCAGAAGCCCCGGACCACTCAGGCCAGGAGCAGACTGCAGGGCCCAGTCACACCTCAGTCTCAGACTTTAGTCACACTCCTGAGTGCTGGGCACACTAGGTTGTGGGTTCAGTTCTGGGGACAGAGATTCCCACTTCCACTGTCTGTCCAGGCTCCAGGGTCCCAGGCAGCTCCTGTGTGTGGCCCAACACAGAGGAAGGAGATGGCGTGGCCCATGCTACCTGCCTGTCTCTTAGACTTACCTGTATCTAGATGCTACATGCGCTGAAAAGCTTTCCTATCCTAGGTTGATCTCCTCTTCCAGATGGACCTGTAGGGGCCTCCTGGCCAGACCTCATCCATCCACATCAATGAGCATGCCTCAAAGTCCAGCTTCACTTAAACGGCAAGACGACGCCCACCCAAATGAAAGCTGGCAGGTTTACCTGCTGTTCTCAGAAGGCCATAGGACCCCCAGCCTACCCACTGGCCTGAGTAAGAGAGATGGCCTCCACACGGTTCAGCAGTGTGCCCCCCTGCAGGCCTTATCAGCGTCTCAACTGATGTCCCACTATCTCAAGCTCAGCAACCAGAAGATGGTGCTCAGTGTGGAAGTTCAGACTCAGAAAAGGTCCTTCCTTAATTAAAAATCAGACTTCCCCTCCCATACTGACTCCTAGGCCTGGCAGATGTTGCTCAGAGAGATGTACTCATCTCCCAGGGTCCATGGGCGGGAAAACCACTAACTGCGGCTGGCACTTGGTCATACAGACCTTCAGACAGTTCTGACAAGCCATTGTTCCCTGGTTCTGGAATCTGCCCTGCCCAGGGAGTCCTGACCTGCACATGGCTGTCCAGCAAGGCCTGGCCCATGTACCAGCAGAGCCCATACCCAGCAGCCTTTTGTAAGGGCAGCATTTGTATTGCTGGGCCCTCAGGATGTGGCAGCTATCTACATCCTGAGGAGAGTAGAAGAAGGACCAGGGGCATCTCGCAGCCTGGCCAGCCAGGGGCATCTCGCAGCCTGGCCAGCCAGGGGCAGCTGCCCTCAGGGGCAAGGAGGCAGAAGCTGGCTGGAGGAAAATGTGGTCAGAGCTGAGGACAAACGGGCTAAGGTTGTTAGAGCTGTGACAAAGATAGGTGGCCATACACACTGCTGCCGGGCCAGTCAGAGGGGGGACCCTTGGTTCCTCCTCCCGGCCCTTGTCCTATGGCCTTATATGATAAGAATCAACCTAGACCATTGGCTGCTCTGTCCAGCTCATCTGCTCAGAAGAGTCAGAGTCATCCTAAGAGGATGTGGTCAGAGCCACGGCTATGTTGGACACCTAGGGTCCCAGGCTGGGAAAGGTGCTCTGAGAAAAACACAGCCAAGGGCCACCTCCCCTCCCAAGTCCGCCAGCCCCAAACTCTGGAGACCCGGCAGGTGGGTCATTGCTAACTGATGCCAATGCCCCCCACACTGCCACATGCTGCTCAACTGTGTCTGCACTGCCACATGATGGGCACTGTCACTATTCTATGTGAGCTCAACCCCCCCCATCTTTCCAAGACAGGATCTAGTCTCTGTATAGCCCTGTGTGTCCTAGAATTCACTATGTAGCCAGGCTGGCCTTGAACTCTCAGAGATCCACCTGCCTCTGATGACCGAGTGCTGGGATTAAAGGCGTGCGCCACTATCACCCGGCTGGGTGACTGATTTTTAATGGATTGTTCTGAAGCCAGGCCTGGTGGTTCCAATTCTCTGTGAAAATGTGGTTTTGTTTTTTGTTTTTCTTATAACGATGGAAAAAGTTAAGGCTGGTTTGGACAAGAAGGTCCCCAGCATCCTGGACCCCATAGCAGCCACAGGAGAAGAAGGATCAGACAGGCAGCCTATCTCTGCCATCACCTGGCTCTCCTCAACAGTTTGCCAGAAGCCTCACTCACATCCAGCTCAGGGACAGCCCCGCAGAGTGGGGCATGTGTTGTGCCAAGAGCTGTCCATTCTGTGCACCTAGCACCCTGGGCAGACTTTGCCACTGGGAACTTCAAAATGGCCTCCTGTACCCTCATCATCCTGGAGTGCTCAGAGTGCCCTGTGCAGAGGACGAGGCTGGACACTCTGGGCCATCGCCAGTCCTGTGAGGCACCTGGTGACCACACTCACCGAACTTTGGGCCAGAGTCACTGTCTAAGAGACTCTTAGGTCAGTATCTGAGCAAAGTCATGACGAGCCTGCTGAGGACACATTGCTGAGACTCTTCAGACCCCCTGACATCTTTGGTCTGGTGGAGACAGCTTGGGAAGCCAGAGGGTGGGCTTCTGCAGGCCACGTTCAGGGGTGCGTGTCCAGGACCAACAGGACCGGCCCAGGTAGCGCTCCCACACATAAGGCGGACGCTGTCAGACACATGTGGCGGGTGGGTAAACTGAGATAAAGATGGGGGTCAGAGCCGGGCGGTGGTGGCGCACGCCTTTAATCCCAGCACTCGGGAGGCAGAGCCAGGTGGATCTCTGTGAGTTCGAGGCCAGCCTGGTCTCCAAAGCGAGTACCAGGAAAGGCGCAAAGCTACACAGAGAAACCCTGTCTCGAAAAACCAAAAAAAAAAAAAAGATGGGGGTCAGAGTTCACATAACAGAGCTCAGGTCAGTATGGCTGCAACCTCCATGGGAAGATGAGCAGGCTGAGGTGAAGGCGGCGTGGCCAGGGCAAGGTCAGAGACCTTCCATCCCTGGAGGCACACCATCTGTGAGAAGACCTCGCCATCCACTGTCCCAGGAGCCACCCTTCACTGTCAACTTGACTGGATTTAGAATAACCTTGTGGGGTTTTCTAAGAGGGCTCTGGGGTTAAGACCACCTCTTGCAGAGGACTCAGGTCCAATTACCAGCCCCTACACGACAGCTCACAATCACCTGTAACTCCAGTTCCAGGGGATCTGATGCCCTCCAATGGCCTCTGAGGGGACCGACACACGCATTCATGCAGGCATACACACATACACGTGAAATAATAATAAATCTTTTAAAAAAAAACAGAGGACATGAAGTGAGAGGAAGATATGGGGCAGGATTTAGGAGAAGTTGGAAGAGGTAGTGGAAGTGAATATTAATCAACTATAGTGTATACATGTATGAAATTCTCAAAGAACAAATCAAAATATATTTAAAAAATAAAATAGCACAGGAGAGACAGCACTGTGGGAGCAGCTGTGAGTGCAGTTCCAGAGAGTCTAGCTGGGGAGGGAAGACCCACCCTGAGGGTGGGTAGCACTGTCCTGTGAGCTGAGGCCCCAGGCTGGATACAAAGGGGGTAGGGGGAGCAAAGGGGTCGCATTCACCTTTCTCTGCCTCCCGTCTGGAAGCAGCTGCCCCCTCCAGTTCCTGCTGCCATCACCTCCCTGCTGTGGGGACGACACCCACAAGCCATGGCCGGAGTAAGACCTTCTTCAGGTGCTTCCGCGGGCATTTTGTCAGAGCAACTGGAAAAGTAACACTGAAGACGTCGTGTCTCCAGGAATCCAACCACCCTCACCCCACACACAGGAACCACACAGCCCTCTCTGTCTGTCTCCAGCCTCGGTGTGTCCCAGGAGCCGTCACCCCTCACCCCCACTGGGAGAAGAACTCTCCAGGGTCACAGTGGGGCTCTAGCCTGCTCCTTCTGGGTAGTGGCTGGCCCCTGTGAGCACTCCAGGAAACCCGGACCTGAGCAGAGGTGGGAAAGACTGTGTGGTTGACAACTGGAAACCCCTTGCTCCTGAACTGGTGCCTTAGGAGATCCACCCGAGAGTCCTCACTTGGGAGGGTGCTGTCCCCACACACAGAGTCGAGGCCTAGGCACAGCAGTGTGGCAGTCCTCACAGGCAGCAGGGCCAAATTGTCCGGGAGATAATCTGTCATGGGATGCCAGAGCCAGGGAAGGTGACTGTCGTGGAGGGTCACAGAGCCCTGTGCCCAGGTGGACAGGTAGGACAGGAGAGCCAAATCTTGGCTGCAAAGGCCAGAGCTTGCACAAGGGACAAGGAAGCAGGCCAAGTCCCAAGCTGGGAGTCTGTCCTGGTACACCAGAGTGAAGTCTGTCACCCTGCCTGCTTCCCTTTGGGATCCTGCCTTATGTCGCCCTCCAAGCCATGTCCCCCCCACCCTAAGAGACCGTCTCCCATCCTCCTAGGCCAGCTCCCAACACTGATGCACCCGCTGCTCTCCTGATTTTACCAAGTGCCTGTCACACTGCTTTCCTCAGGCCCAGGCAGGCCAGAGACAGCCCACACATCACACCTTCCCCTCTGACACAGTTCTTTAGAAAACAGTGGCCACTGCCAGCAAGGACCCCTGGGAAATCAGCTGATGCCAATAAAGCTCCCTCAGATACCTTAGGGTCCCCAGTGCACTATCTCTCTTCCACATCAGTCTACCACGTCCGTGTTGCAGGACAGAGCCCTCGTCATCGGCGGCTGCAGGTTCAGCCCACGGCCGCTCCCCACAGCCTGTGGCCCACTCAGAGCTCGACCCTGAGCAGTGCCTCTCGGCTCTCGCCTGGCTCTATTGCTGGGGCTGCAGCTCATGCAGCATGGTCAGGAGTGGGGCAGCGGCAGGGCTTGCCACCCGCCAGCCTGACATTTCCAAATATGCTGGCGATGCTTCCTCAGCAGGCAGATCACGCACCGTCAGCAGCTCCCCGGATGCCAAATGCCAGTGTGGCTACCCAGGCATGGCAGGATGAGGCCTGGGCTGGGCGTGGGTGCAAGGGCTGTGGATGGGAGTCCTGGGGCTACCCCGGGGAGATTAAAATGATCTTTGCTAGCCAGCCAGTCACAGTCTCTTCCAGCCAAAAGCCTGAAAGAGTCCCTCAAGTGCATGCCTCCCTCCCCCATGACAGGTGTCCACTGTAGGCCTGGGTGAGCTACAACAACCAGCAGCACCTCTCCCTGAGCTACAGCATGGGAGCATGCAGCCTGCCTCTGCAGGGGCCTGTGTGGCGAAGAATTAAAGTCAAACTACCCCAAGAGTCCCAGAGTGGGCTTCAGGGAGCGTTTCCTACCACAATGCTGGTCCCAGCCTGGACGGCCAGCAGGACTGGAGCAGCAAGCCAGCCTCACAGGCCCAGGCAAGGCTATTGAAGATAAGCTGTGGGTGGGGGCCAAGCCCCACCCACAGTTCCACAGCTCCCCGGAGGGTCTCGCCCACCAGCAGCGTTTGGCATTCAAGGTGGGGAAGCAAAGGCAGCGACTGGAAGAAGCGTGAATGACTCATGGGTGTCACAGCCGCACGGCTCCTTGACTTTCAAGGAAGCTAGAATACACTGAAGTCAGTCCTAGACTGTGGTAATTGCTCATAGCAGTGTGGGCCAATTAGCATGTGACTGAGAAAATGAAAACAAGACTTTTTTCTCCTGTTTGAAATACTTCAATACAAAACGTAGGAGGCTCTGCTGCTAAATGGAGTCTGCCTGTGAGGACACTGTGCAGGACTCACTTGGGTCCCAGTACACGTGATCCCAGGGACACGACGTCAGGAGGACATAAGCCTGGGAGGAAGTTCACTTTTACTCCAGCCCAAGTGGACAGAGGGGTGGCCACCACGCCAACCAGCCTGGTGATTGCCAGCCATAGTGTGCCCACCCACTATCATCCCTGACTGAATCCTCATCAGCCACCCTCAATGACAGCCAGTCTGAAAAATGAAGGACTCAGAGGGACAGGCCCCAGCTCTGAGCAGCCCCAGTTCATCTTGGAGCCAAAAGGAGATCAAGAGACAGGACCTCTAGGGAGAGCTGGTCCACAGCACCACACAGAGCACACAGAGTGGCAGGCTTGGCACAGGACACAGCATGGGCACCAGGCCGAGTGGCTCCCTCTGGAAGCAAGCTTTCTACAGGAAAGTACCCTCTTCTGCAGTCGGGAAGGCCAGGAAGGAGGAGAGGGCCAGTCCTGAGACCTTGCATAACACACGGTGAGAGCTGTATGTTCTGTGTGAATGCCCCTGAGCAGTGGGCATGGTAGGTCTCAGAGTAGCTAGGTCAGCAGTAGGGGGGGCAGTGGTGAGGAAAGCCCTCACACACTCCCAGGATACCTGCCAGTCGGCAGCATAGGTGCCTCCATCAGCACCAGTTAGGCATGGTGCCTAGCTGAGGAGCAGTGCCCAGAATGGAGGAGGCTGACTGTGACGGGCTGGCACTGCTGTAGACACAGAAGTGGGCCCAGCCTACAGGTTTCCTCTGGGGGAGCTTGCATGCCAGCACTTTTCACAGTTTGTCCCCAGGAGTGGCCAGCGGGGTGTTGGGGATAGTGCTTAGGCAGGCCTTACTGACGACCCCAAAGTCCCTGAGAGTCACAGGGGAAGGGGGGGCTCGCTCTGAATAAAGGACCAAGAAGTCTCGCTCTTTCTGCTGCTCTCCAACCTCACCAGGAACAGGGTCAGCCAGGACCTGCTCTGTAGACCCAGGTGTCCTCTCCACTAGTTCTGGCTACCCAGCAGCACCTGCCCCACCATCTATACCCGCCCCAGCTGCCCCTGCCCATCTCACCTCCCCAGCCCACCCCACCTGCCCTTACTGCACCTCCTGGATGGTTTAGTTTTTCTCCTGTGATTCCTGAAAATTGATTCAGCTGTGTGGAAGGGGAACAGGGGGACAGATAGGCAGATGTCACGGCCTTTCTTGGGAGAAGGGATAGGCAGGGTCTTGGGAGCTTAGTTGAGGATAAATGGGGCAGTGGGGTAGGTAGGTGCCAATGGGACAGGTGTGCTGGGGAGGTGAGATGGGCAGGGGCAGCTGGGGCGGGTATAGATGGTGGGGCAGGTGCTGCTGGGTAGCCAGAACTAGTGGAGAGGACACCTGGGTCTGCAGAGCAGGTCCTGGCTGACCCTGTTCCTGGTGAGGTTGGAGAGCAGCAGAAAGAGCGAGACTTCTTGGTCCTTTATTCAGAGCGAGTCCCCCCTTCCCCTGTGACTCTCGGGGACTTTGGGGGTGGTCAGTAAGGGCCTGGCTAAGTGCAGAACTTCTGTCGAAGGCTGTTCCTAGAAATGCTCTACTCATGGATTACCTCTCCACTTAGGGCCTCATCTGCCTCTGTGGCCATAGGCCTTGGGGCTCTGGTGGTACAGTCCCCACAGTGGGGTCCCAGCACCCCCTTTGCACCTCTCTCCCTTGTGACAATCTTGACCTTGTGGAAGACTGACAGAGGCTGGCCGGGGACCCTCGGCGTACTGGACACATCGCCATGCCCTCTCAGTGATTCTGCGGCATCTTTGAGCTGGTTACCATGGGACCTGCCATCACACCCCCTGGAGTCACAGCATACATGTGGGAAGCTAAGCTACTGGTCCCAACATTTAGACTAGGAGGGCCACCTTCCTAGACAGTTGAGACATGATATAGACAAGCTTCCTGGGGTGGGACCCTGCCCAGCCCGCCTTGTTCTCAAAGTCATCTTTTCCTCCTGAAGGTTCTCACAGGGCCACTGACACTCACACCCGCTAACAGGACTGCCAGCCCTAACTCCGAGATTGGTGGCTGATTGATGGGTAATTGTTTTACCTCTGAACAGCCCAAGCCCCATA